AAAGAAATTGAATTTTATCATTTCTCCACGAGTTGAGTAATATTTAATTTGCATTCTGCAAAAAATAATCATAAATTGTTTTGTTTTTAATTTTAATTTTTTTTTTTTTAACTTTTAGAGATCTTTAACATTAACGGAATTGTGCCTCGAGAAATATCTCCGGTTTCATTACTTTCAATTCTATTATGATTGAAATTCAACCACGCAGTGTTAATTAAAATTCATGAATGTTTTCAACTTGGAAATAGTATTAATTGACGCGCGCGTATACCAGAAAAAGATTTTTGTTTGACGTTGAAATTCAACGTGTGGCTAATATTGCCATTTCTCGTCGATAATTAATGACAATTTATACAAAGTGCAATATTTTTATATTTCATTATAATTTTTTTTATTGGGAATTTTCGCTTTTAAAAAAATATATACTCATTTTTATATATATATATTTTTTTATATAATAATAATTATTATATTATTTTAAAGTATAAAAATTTAATATTCAATTAATTTAGTAAAAGAGGATAAAACCATTCAAATTTGGTTTATAAAAATAATTAATAAAAGTTATGAAAGTGGAAGACATTTCTTTACAGTATTCTTCCTTTTCTCATTTCCTCTTTCCGGAAAAATGAAATACAAATTAAAAATAAACAAGTCGGACAAATTGAACATAAATTTTAAAATAAGAGAAATTTATATGAAAGAAGGACTGTATAAATAGTTACTGAAATATTTGAAATACTGAAAATTATTATTTTAAAATAATATTAAAATGCAATTTATTCTCAATTTTAGTATATTAATAAAAATCCAAAGTTCGATTTTTTAAATTCAAAATGTCGGATTCAATATGACGGAAAAATCAATCGTTTAATTAATTAATGTAAATTTCCCTATCAACTATAATTAATAATTAATTTGTACATATTTGATAAAAAAAATATACATTCTATAAATGCAAATAAAATAAATTGCTTTTACTTCTAGTATCAGAAATAAAATCGAGAGTCCATTCACGTTAAAATTGAGTCAATTTTTGTTTCCTATTGCTTTTTTTTGAAAAAAAAACGAGACAAAAAGATAAACAAAAAATTGCACTGGAAATGCCCTTTGTTTGTATAGAAAGATTATTTTTGCGATAGATGATCGCGCGCGAAAGGGTAAAAGGTAACAATCGCGATGCTTTGAAATGGACAGTTTACGAGAATAAACTACTCCCTCCCCCACCTTTTTTTCTCTCTCTCTCTCTCTCTTGATGGGTTTCCTATTAAAACATTTGTTTCCACTCGAGGACCTAAATAGCAAAACTGCAGCGTGCTGTCGATTAACCCTTCGGCATCGTGCTTTTCCCTCTCTCTTTCTCTTTCTCTGTGTGTGCACAGGTGTACAACTGACCACCGTCGATTTCGCTTCATTCGCCGCCGGCACCTTATATTCGCAGTTGCAGGCTGTCTAATTTTTTTTATCGTCATTTTTTTAAACTTCTTTTCATTTGTTTTTTTTATTTTCATTTTTTTTCAATAAAAAAAAAATAAATCTCTCGTCTTTCTCCTATACACAAAAAAATATATATAATTTCTGTGTGCTTGAGCGCTCTCGTTTCAGACCTACAAAATCCTTTTTACCCTTCTCGTTCTCGCGTCAGATCTCGTTATCTCATTCACGAACGAAATAATTGTGTTGTACTATATAATATTATTCGCGAAATATAACCATATATTTAAAAAAAATAAGAGAGTGGGGGAGATTTTTCTTAACTTGTCGGTGAATATGTTCTGCGAATTTTTACTATATTTAAAAACGTCAGAGGAAAAATATTTAATATCACATGTATATGGGGTAAAATTCCTGAAGTGATCCAAGTGAAAAAATATTTTTTTTAATTTTTATTTTTATAATTTTATTTTTTATTATTATAATTTAATAAACTAAATCTTAAATTAAATAAATAAACATTTATTTACCCATATTACTAAATTTTGTGTAAATTGCTGTCCGATCTAAAAAAAATTTTTTACTTGGTTCACTTTTGAGAGAATTTTCCTCATATATAATATATATTATATTATAAACTCAGGTAAAAATGCGCATGGCACACGGCGGGGATTTTTATAAGCCACACAGAAATTCATTAAAAATGAAAAAATTCCACGTTATATATGTTAAATTAAATACAGTTGCCTCGCATTGCCTGAGGCGTTCTTTCGTTTTTAAGGGTGTATAAAATAATTACAGACGGGGAGATTTCATTTGGATGTTTTTTTTTCTTTCGTTTCTTTCTTTTTTTTCCTTTAATATAGCAGGGAAAATGAGGAAAACGTCAAGACAACGCTCGTGGAAGAATAAATGAGAGGTAAAAACTTAAAAGTAGGTTGTACTGGAAAATATTTTTTATATATATAAAAAAAAAACTTTTTCTTTAAAGAAGTTTGCTCTTAGCTATTTTCTTTCATTTATATGTATATATTTATGTACCAGCGAAAAATAACTTTTTTTCCCTCAATTTCGAACAAAAAGTAAAAAAAAAAAGAAAAAATATTTCGTAAATTCTTTTTTAAATGTTTCTCAAGTTTTCTTAATACTCCGCAAGTTTGTTTTATATACAATGCTTTGCAACTGTTTTTTTCGTTTCTTTTTATTTTGGTTGTTTGCTGCATCTGAGAGAATTAATTAAATTCAATTGAAAAAAAAAATAAAAATAAAATACGAATTTAATTAGAAATAATAAAATAAAAAATTAGAAAGAATTATAAAAATTATTTTTATTATTAATATTATTATAATATAATAATAAAAATATTAATTAGGAGAAAATGAAATATTAGTAAAACTTTTCTTTCTTAATTTACAAAAAATAAATTTTTTTTTTAAATTTTGCAATGTTTAAAAAAAAATTTTGGATTTTCTGCCTGACAGAAAAATGTCATTATCTTGGTGTGTTTTTTACCTTTGTCCCCATATCGATTTAATGAAAGCAATTTGTCAAATAACGTTACAGGTGTTCAATCAAATCAATGTCTCATTTTCACCCCAAAAGGACCATATGAAGAATTTGATTAGAATTCCCCTCCTATATTCAGTTTCCATTGAGTATACGCACGTCTCCTTTTTGGTAGACATGAGAGAGCACATGATTTTTTTATTATCAAGGGTCTTTGCAAGATGAATCGACGATCTTCTCGTATTTTCATCAAAATACAATCAATTACATTATATTTACTTTCATGGCTTTTTTTTATCAAATTCACCATTCATTATTATTTTACCTTTTATATGCCTATACTTTTTAATTAATTAATTTTTTTAAAAAATTTTTATTTTGATCATAAATATGAGAAAAAATTTATTTTTATTATTATTTTCTACACCTGTTTATTTATTTTTACAGTCGATCGTTTCCCGACTTTTTGATTATAGAACAGTATAGTAACACAGAAGACTTTAATACCTCACATAATTTGTGTCGCGAGCAGTGCATTATTTGTCTTCGTGATTACAAAAGTCATTAATGTCCTCTAGTGAATAAGGGTGGTGTCCCTCTTCCAGCAAATGAAGCTAGCGAAAAATGTAGTCTTCTTCATTACAAAGTTTATATACAACGACTTCAATGTTTTTTTTTTAATTAAAATAAAAAATAATTCTTTGCAAAACAAAAATTTTTGTATTAATAATAAAATAATAATAATAATAATTTAAACAAAAAAAAATTATTGATCAAAAATATAAATTAAATAAATAAATTTAGAAAAAAAAATTTTTCTGTCTTGATCGGTACATTTTGATCACTCTGTAAATTATATTTACATACATATTTATTTACCTGAGTTTTTTAATTAATATTTACATGTTATATTAATAATTTATATTCAATAATATATTCAGTCACGAATTGTAAATTTTCTCTACACCTATCTATATAAATGAAACGTTTGATGAATAAAAGAAAATATTTCGGTGTAATAAATTTGATAATGTTGCAAGAGTTTGAGAAAGACGTTAAAGCTCGACTTCTGACGCGACGAACGACAGGTTAATTAAGGAGAATGTTGATTTATAGAACCGGATCATAATTCAAATCACTTAATACCAGACCCCCTGAAAAAAAAAGAAAAAAAAAGAAAGAAAATGTTTGAGATGGACCCGCGTGTGTATATATCTTTATGCGATCCAGCTTACAGAAAAGTTCACAGTTATTTGAAACCAGTTAAATTTGATACACATCGATTGATCGCATCAATATATTTATTTGGAACACCTTTTATTTTCCCTTTGACATGTCGATCTATGTCAATTATAAACTATTTTCTAAATTTTAGCCAAAGAGTAAAAAAAGACGAAAATGTTTTCAATAATAAAATAGATTTTAATTTTTCTTAACAAAAAAAATGTATATTATATCTTATGTATTTTGCAAAATATAAGGATTTAAAAAAAAAAAAAACATCCATTACAATGGAGGCAGACCAAGAAGAGTTATCGAGTAAAGTTCATAATAAACCTTCGAGGAACTTTTTACGACTTCAATGTAACCTGTTAAAAGTGACTTTTAGGATCGTAGAATGATCCATAAGGGTCTCGTTTGCGATCTAGATGGAAGGCGCATTACCTTCTTATTATAAAGGTTATACGGTGGAATTTATCAAAAATAATTGTTTCATCGAAAAATAGGAGCTGCTTTGTTTTTTCAATTAAGAAAAATAATTATTTTTTATCATCTATATACAAAATAAAAATTATATAGATATTTGAACAAATTATTTAACAAACTTATAAACTATTATTCAGTGTAAAAATTTGAAGATAAATTGTTTTGTTATGACAAGCAGAAGGTTGGTTCTGTCTTAATTTTCAAGAAGTCAGGTAAAAACGTCTGTAAGAAACTTAGCCGTGTGGTTAGAGTACACGCCTCGCGTCCCAAGGGTCCTGGGTTTGATTCCCCTTGCTTGCAAGATTTTTGAAAATTATTTTCGGGCAAATTATCGTTGAAACGAAGCAAATAATTTAGCCAAAAAAATCATTATGACTAATGTTAAAAAAATATTTGCAAATTTGTAAACTAACCTTTGCATTCGTTGGCTTCCCTAGCGGTGGCGCGCGCCCAAGGCCTATCAAAATAGAAGGATTTGCACTTTTCGCAATCCCTACCGGCAGTATTGTGACGACAATCGCAAGCAATTTGTCCATCCTTGCCAGTGATGCATTTTGCCGCATGTCCATTGCACTTACATCTGCCACCAACCGCAAAATCAGACACCGCATAATGATGCGCCAAAGTGGTACCGGCAGTTGTCGACAATATTGTCGTAACTGGAGCCGAGGTCGTTCCTCCAATACCAACAAAACTCATCTCCTGAGGTTCGAGTGCATCATTAGATTGCATCTCTTGCGGCGCAAACACCTGATGAACCGACGGCAATGCCGTCACCAATGGATCATTATGTCTCAAATAAAAATTCTTCTTCATCTTCTCCTCGCGCTCTCTCTCCTTCTTATTAATATCATCCAATCCAGCATTCTCATCCGGTCCCATATTGGAAAATTGTTCCTGAACTTGTGGCATATACAAACGATTAAATATCACACGTATATCCGTTGCCGTAACCCAATCTTGAAGAACCGGTGAATTATCAACATCGGCCGCCGACGGTCTTCCCTCAAGTGTACTAAATGCAATTCTACCAACTGGTCCCAATCCATCACCGCCATTGTAACGATGACTGTCCGTACATCTTGCCTCTTGTTCATTTGCCTTTGTAATTGTCGCACGATTCGGACGTCCATAAACCCTTCTACATTGCGATGAATAAAATTGAAATGGTTGCCATGTTTTTCCATAGTCCATTGATTTATAAATTGCAATTGAATCGGGTTTCGCTGCCTTTGGACAAAATTGTAAACTCACGTAGGTGAGTTCATATTTTTTACCCAATGACAATGTCAATGTGACATTGTCAGGTGGTGCCGCGAAACTTTGTGACGATACCATTGGTTCACTACGCCAACAGGTGACATTGGTGGGATTATTTAAATCCGTCAAATAACTCGATGGAAATCTTCGTCTTGGCGTACTGTCATCGCACACGTGACATTGGCCAATGCCCGTACTACCTCCAGGTTGTTCAAAAACATCACAATAACGTGTTGGCCCACCGTTACCGCATGTTGATGATGCCTCCACTGTTGCACCGTAGGCTGCGTTCACAAACACTGGAATACACCTAAGAGGACGATCCTCATCGTAACACGGATCAGCTGGACTTTGTTGACTCGAGAACATTTTCGCGTAAATCTCACTGCCTCCATAAACACCGTTTGATTTTATCACACCACCCACTATTGTTAGGAAAATCAAAATTAAACCCATTTTGAATTATTTATTTTCCGCTCTTTCTAAATTTTTACCGCAGCGGAATAATTTCAAAACATAATTATCTTCTTTTTTTTTATTTTTATACCATTAAGAGAAACGATAAAAAAATTTGTTGCTTTTTTTATAAATATTAATTTTTTTAAAGTAATTTTAATTTATTTATTATTGTGACTTTTTTTTATCCTCAAGTTAAAAATAGTTTTTTTCGACCCTTTTTTAAAATATTTTTTGGATTTAACAAATTTTATCGTCCACTTTTTCTCATTGACGCGTTCACCAAAGTTCCTCTTCTTCTTCTTCTTTGGCGGTTGCTTCTTCCTACCTTTTTTTCCACCCCCAGACGAAGGAATTTAATTCATCATCAAAAGTCCTTTAATCTATACTTGCCCCCCTTCTCTCCCTTTCAAAAGACTCCTTTGGTTCACATAATTCTGATTTCTCCCCCAACATTTGATAAATTTAATTTTCACTTTTGACAAACAAAAACTATTTTTTTATAATAAAAATTTATATTATAATTTTTCTACTTTTTTCTATTATTGTTCTTTTCGAAATATTTGTTTTTCCCACCAGTAATAAGTGTAAAATTTTTTCAGAATGAAAGATACATTTTTTTGGTTTTACTGTGATTTTTGAAATAAAATAATTAATTTTTTTCTGGGGGAAAAATTTTGCTGAAAAACACTTGTGAAATTACTAATTGAGTTTTTTTAGGGCAAAATTTATTTTTTTCAAATGGAAATTTTTTTTAATTTTTTGGGAATTTTTTTAGTGGTTTTTTTGGGGTTTTTTCTAAAATGATTTTTTTTTATTTTAATACACGTTGGCACGCGAGTCACCGGTAAAGATGAAAATTGAACATGAAAAAAATACACTGTATCGTCGTGGCGGCTTGCCGCTAACTGAGTCTCGCTCTCTCGCGGTTGTAGATTCAAGCCCGAACGTTTTGAGTCCCTCCCTGTGAGTTTACCCTCCCCACAACCCCCTTCCTCTCAACGCCCCTACCACCCTCCATCGCCAATAGCTTCTCTCGTCTTTCCCCCTCATGTTCCCACCTCATCCCCCTCTGACACACACCACTGTATATGCCGATGGACCAAAAGGGATGCTGCATTTAGTCCAAAGAACATTGTTAAGAAAAGTCACTTCTTGTTTAAGAAAAAAAAGATGTAAAACTAACGAAAATTCCCAATATGATATTTTGGAAATATCAACATTTTTTATCTGTTCTTCTAAGGGTTAATTTTATGCAAAAAAATTTATATGATTGAGGTTTTCTTATCAATTAATTTATCTCACTTGTATTTAATTCCTTTGTATATGAAATTAGTGTAAAAAAAAATTATTCAATTAATTTAGTGAAAATATCCCCTAATTGCTATGATATGATCGTATATATTGAAATTTTAGGGAAAACTAATTAACTACTAGGAAAATTTTTCCTGTTATTGGTAATACATTTTGCTTTTTGAAAATCGTTATTAAATAATTAATTAATTTATTAATGATTATTAAATCTAATTAACTAATTACTAATTAAAAATTTACTTAATTAAGTAATTAATAAACAATTAATTTTGTTAATATATTAATTAATTTACTACTAATTAATAATTAAAAATTAGTGTTAATAATACCTAGTATTTCTCTAATATAGAATTTGTTTTTAATATTTTAAAAAAATTGAAGCTTATAAAACAATAAAAAAAAGCTTTGTTTTCATCTTTGATACATTTTTGTTTGTAATTTTTTTTTCTTTTTTGAAAAAACGGTCAATATTTATCTATTGTTTTATTATATATATATATACATTTGGGGAGAGAATTTTTTTTTCTTCTTTTATTGTGAAAAATGATCAAATGAAACGAAAGCACATAACAGAAACTTTATGAACAAACATGTTTGTTATTTCCGTTACACGACCTCTATTCTGAAGTTTAAACTATGTTGCAATTTCCTGCAATTCGCGAAGATATTAACACAACATTTTATGTGTCGCTTTCTAATGTTTTCGTGTATATATATGTATATTGGATAATATAACCTGATGACTTTTATGTTCATTAAAATACTAAACGTATGTACATACTATTCTTTGAATCGAAATGTTTTCCTACTGCTGACAATAATAATTTTATTCGAATATATATTAATTGAGAAGAAAAAAATATATGTACTACTTGATAAAATATTTGTATATATATGTATATATTTAAAATTATTTTGTATATAAATTTAAAGTCGATTTAAATATAAATGTGTGAGAAATTTGTATAGAAAATGAAAATTTATCTTCAATTTTAATTAACGAAATATTTAATTTAATTGAATTTAATTTACTACAATGAAATAAAATGGTATGGCTTATTTTCAATTTCGTTTATGTCAATAGATTCCAATAAATAAATTTACATTCGAGAGAATATATTTTTAAATGGAGCTTTAATTTTCAATTTATGCTCTCTAAATTTGAATTAGCTAAAAATTACTAAGATAGCAAAACAAAAAAATATGAAATTTTTTCCATATAAAAAAAGAGCAGTATGTAATCATTAAACAAGCGCATGACACTAATAGTAAATACGATATTTTAATGTCTTCGCACTTGGGGTGAAATATATGCATTATAAGTGAATTATATACTGGCAAACTCTGCTTAAACGCGGTTAGATTAATCATTTCCGCATACTGTGGATAATTTCACGTTCAATAATTTCACTCTCATCAACAAAATTTTAATTTACCCGAGATAAATTAAAATTTAAGACACATTTGCGAATTCGTTTCTCATATAAATTAAATTTCAAATTATATATAATGTAGTGTGGAATTTTTCTCGAATAGAAAACGAAGATTAGTTACAAAAAAGATAACTTTTTCATTTTTTGAATCAATTGCAATTGATTTTGTTGTTGAAAATTTTGGTTACTGAGACGAAATATTTTTCTCACTGTATATGTGAAGTTAAAAAAAATAAATATTTTCAAAGATTTAAAATAACAAACAAAAATTTGTTTTTCAATGTAAATAATAGCAATTATTATTGCTATTATTCTTATTGTCAGAAGGAATTTAAAACGAAGAAACACTTTACATAAAGAAAGAGGGAGGGGGAATATCAGTTGTTTGATGCAGAATCCTGAAACCGTTTTACTGTCACGCAACACTATATTCCTGAATGATTTTTGAAATATGATGTTCGAAAAATAAAATTTACGTCCACTTTAGTTTCTCTTTATTGGAAATATAATATAGAGAGAGAAAGAGAGAGTCAAGACCAAAATATCGTGACGTTTGAACAACACACTTTTGCTCAGAGCAAATCGTCATTCGAGAGCTTTAAAAAGTGACGGGAATTCTTCGAATCTTATATTCTCACCCCATGCAGAGTTTTATGTGCGCTTACCTTAGATTTTTTTTCGAGTGTTGCAAAATGGTCGATTGGTCACACACAACTCGCGAGTAGGTTTCTTCCATATAGTATAATGGGCCACGAAACCCTAAAAAACAAAACAAAAAATAGTTAATTATAACTATTTATTTAAAAAATATGTTTAAATAATTTATATTTGTTAGGAAAAATATTTTTTCGATTAAAATTATTTTTAATTTTTTTTTAAATTAAAATTACTCTAAATTAGTCAACGAAATTAATTCTATAATTATAATAAATATATAGTCTATATTACTAGAATAATATTGACCAAGGGAAACGTGTATTTGATTTGATTATATACATATAATATATACTAAAAACAAGAGTTATAATTTGCAGTTGTAAAGCTATATAAAGTGTGTGTAAGAAAATAATCTTTGTGGTCACAAAACAAGCACCCATCAACACCTATATACATATATATGTGTACCTTTACTAATTGGTTCGCGTTAAACCACTAAAGAGCCGAGAGGAAGTCACGCGACTTTCTTAAGCTTTCGAACGCTATATATAGGTTTTTATGGGTCTCCTGAATGACCCTCCATCAATTTAGGCGATTCTTCTGATAAATTATGTAGTTCATAAAAATTCCCGCATCAATTCTTTTTTCATTTGTAGACATAATTAATTTATGGACTTTTGTAACATCTTTTTTTCATACACTATTTATTGTAAATTGGCCTTGATTGAAATTACTATTATATTATTAATATATTAAAAATAACTATACTTTTGTCACTAAAATTGCACATTAGAACTCAGAGAAAACGTTTATTTGACTTAACTAAACAGTTTAATTAATTATATTTTATTTCGCATAAAAAAATTAACATTCGTTTCTAAAAAGAAAAAGGAAATAAATTGTCAAAAGCAATGTGTTACTTTAGATGCTAATTACTCCTCCAATTTTCGAGGAGCATTGAGAATGTTCGCTCGACTGTGTTAATTTTTTTCTTATTCAATCTCGTGAATCGTTTTCTGGTATAATAATATATAAGAATGATCTTTGAAGATAATGGCGTTTTGGAAGAAAATACTTGACATCGAAAGACTGAATAAAAATATAAAAAAAGAACCATAATGCTCACGTCAGGAAAGGAGGCGCCAAAGGTAGAAGCAAATAGAAAATACGTGACTGTCCTGCAGAGCGTCGCTCCTCTCACCTGGTGCGAACGATTTTTGCTGCCCCTTTGGTTCTTTGGCAAGGAGTTAAATATCAAAATGCTATATCTTATCCCCTGAGATCCAATGTTATTCTCTTTATATAAATATATATATATACGTATGTAAAAAAATTAACAAAAAAAAATAAGTAAAAGCAAAAAAAGAAAACGATCTTGTCAGAATATTGAACTGTGAAAGAGAATGAGCACCTGGGGAGAGACCGAAATTCGATAAATTGCCTCTGTCTTAATGCTTTAGCACCATTGAGAAAAAGAATTAAAAAAAAAGAAAAAATGACTTCTGCTACAGCGAATTTTTTATCTTGTTAAAAATTTCATTCAGCAGCAAAGCTGATTTACTGCGAAATAAATATTTTATCGCGTTATTTATTTGTAGATTTATGTTAATTTTTTATATATGTTCGCTCCCACAAATCTTCAGGTGTTTTGATTTTATTAATTTATTTATAATACTGGATTATAGATAATTGAATTCTAATCATTTAATTTTATAAAGTATATTCAGAAAAAAATTTAAAAAATTTAATAATTAAATTAATTAATTACATTTTTTTAATTATTTACCTGTACAGATTTTTGTTAAACATTAAAAAGATTTACATAAAATGTTAGCTGATTTACACCTTATTAAATTATTTTATTTATTTTTTTAATTTTTTGTAATTTAAAAATTTGTTTTTGTTTTTTTATTTTAATTGTTGTTACATTAAATATTGTATTTTATTTTGTTGAAATTTTCTTCTTTCTTGAAAGTTCATTACAATAAAATATATGTGCGAATGAGAATTGAAAGTTATTTCGAGTGTATGTATATATATATATATTTAATTCAAAAGGTGCGGTGAGTATAGATTGTTGATGATAACAAGAGTTTCAGAAGATCGTGCACATTTCAATGCGGGCATCTATTAATTGAATTAATTTAAGCTGAATATAAGCAAGGGGAGCACGATCAGGCGTGATAACTTTTCTGACTTAAGGATTATAACACCTTGGCAAAGATTAAACTTGTGAAACTTCTTAACGAGTGACTGCCACGAATTTGAATCTCACGCGGACAAGATTTCTACTTCCTCTTCATAGATATTTCCTTCCTTACTTCCTGTATTTTTTCATCTTAACACTTAAACACTCAACAATAGCCAATTACTTTTCTCAAAAAATTTAAATAAAAAAATTAATTTTTCACTTTTTATAAACAATAACTATTAATTTTTCCACACACGACAAATAAATTGAACCAATAATTTTTTAATTGAAATGTTAATTCAATTAAAATTTTAGTAATTAAATAATAATTATAAACTGTCAAAAAATAAACTTACAATAATTAAAGAAAAAGGGAATGAATGATAAACATTTTTCTTTTTTTTGTTGAATTTTTGTATATATTTATATATTTTCGTTCTAGTTATCTAAATATATATATATATATTTTGTATATGTATATAATTTATATACCATCCTCTTAAATTTCGTGTAGAAATAATTCTGTTTCTTATTCTCCTTTTCATTTTTTTCTTTTTTTTTTTTTATTTATTTATTGTATTTGTATGCTCGCGGTTTTTTTTGCTGTCCGGCTTGCTAGCCGTTGTTTTTAGAATCACTAGAACGCGACATTTAAAAATATTCAAGCAGACAGCGGACAAAAATTCTATACAGGCAATTAGCGTCTTGTCCGTTCCGTCGTTAAGTCGCTTGTAAGTGCACATTACATCGCTTTAACATCACAGGTGAAACCATTAAAAAAAAAAAATTAATAAAACATCAACAACAATTCAAGAGGATTATCGTCTACAAAAAGGCATTTTACGTCGGTCAAATTTTACTTAAAGAAAAAAAAGAATCCCTTTCCCTTATGTTTCACTTTTTTTCTCTTCACAAAAAATTTTCATTTCATTTTATAATGAAGATAAAATCAAAGAATTTAAAAAAAAAGCATCCATTATAATTTCTTTTTCTATTAATTCTGAGCTTTGATGTATGTGATAACAATAAATTTTTTTCCAAAAAACTATTTGCCAACTGCAAAAAATTGATTTTTGTTCATTTTATTTGTTAATTAAGAAACTATAGAATTTTTTAAATAAATTTAAAAACGAAATTGATAAAAATTACATTTACATTTTTAATCTTTCTTTAATTTCATTAGTTTTCTTTCAAGTTTTTGTTAAATCGTTAATTAAATTAATGGGCATTAATTTTTGTAATCTAATTCATTCAATTCAATTCTTATTTTCTTTAACCGGTGTAAATTTTTTAATCTATTTATCAAAATAATTAAATTATTTTAATCTATTCTGAAGAAAAATTGAGTGAAACACATTGAAGGGATTTACAAAGACCAACGTCGATTATGTTTAAAAATTGCGAGAATTCGAATGATATATATTTTTTTGTTTCTTTCAATCACACGTGTAGGTACTCTTAAAATATTAATTTTTTCTTTTTTGAAAAAATGGCAGCAACTATATTTTTTTTGCTCTTTTCGAGTATTCAAGTTACACGCGTAATTGGCGTGAAAATTATCCGGCAGCAAACCATCAAGCACCGCATTTAACAAAATTTCTCATATTTTGTAAGATTCACAAACTGCTTTTTTTCCGGGTGTATGTAAGTTTTTTTTTCTCTTTTTTTCATTCAGTTACTTTGTAATTCCTTTTTATTTTTCTTCATTTTTTTACCATTTTGTTTGATTAAAGCAAACACGAGACGCGTAAATGCCCCGCAAATACCACGAGCGCTTTTTTTTATTTTATATCTAAAAAAACTTATCGATATTTTATTTTCTTTTTTAAATGGATACAGTGTTGGTTGAAATTCGTCGGCTATGTGTATGTGTGTTTGTGTGTGAATTAAAACAGAGGATATGCATTTTGTGCAATGTTCCCATGTTAACCTTTTGCGGAAATTTTTCTTCTTTTTTTGGAAATACATACATGCCGTCGATATAACGCTCGAACGGAAAAACGCGAAAACTACAATAGAAGACTTGACAATCTATTTTACACGCATTTGAAAAATTTCGCAGCATCCACATTTTTATTTTTTTATTTTTACCTTCATTCGCACCGAGAAACAGAAACAGAATTCTGGTTTTTTAAAAAGGAATTTTTAAAAAATTTTCTATTTAAAAACTATTTCTATAATATTAGAAATAAAAGTTTTCATTTAAAAATTGTTTTCATTTGAAAAATTAGTTTTATTTTCATTGAAATACATTGTACAAAAAAAAAAAAAAATTGAAATATAAAATTTTCATTCAAAAAACGAAATATAAAATAGTTCCACTGGAAAACATATTCGAAAAAAAAAATGTTTTTCTTCAGTGCGAATGCAGTATGAAGAGTACATTTGCTAAAAATACATGACATTTATTCCGGAGAATTATTTTTTTAAAAAAGTTTTTCTTCGAAATTAGTTAAAATTTTGTACGCAAAAAAAATCTACAATTTTTTCTCGTAAGCGATATATATATATATATATATATATAAAGGAATACAAAATTACCTCTCTAAACGATTACCCAAAAATAGAGAAACTTGATAGAAAGTTTCGTAATCTATTTCCGGCGATTCGTTTATACTAATACGATTGCATTTTCCAAAAAAACATATAATATATGTTAAATGACAATCATACAAGTTAATAAATTAGTTTGAAAATATATTAAAATCGCAATAAGAATGATTTTGAAAAAGAGTTTTGGTATATTTGTATGGAGGGGGTTTCTTTTTTTTGAGGTCTTTCGGATCGTATTCCTTTTAAATAATTTTTTTTTTTAATTTTTATATATTCATTCACTCGATTATAACTATTTCTCTATCTTTCTCTCGCACATACATTCATCGAGTTTTTTCTTCTCCTTTCCCTCAAAAAAAAATTTTTTTCTTTTCCTACTCCATTGCGCTTCTTTTAATACTCAATTTCCACTCTTTCGGAAAAGAAACTTACAACCTAAGTCCAATATATTAGATATTAAATAGCAATAATATTAATAATAATCAGCGATAGCAATATATTAATATTAAATAATATAATTTTTTTTAACAAAACACCCGCCACACAACAATAATATATAAAAAAAAGAATTCATGATCAACTTGATAAATGGAATATTATCGAAAGTTATATATATAATATATACGTACAAAGTCATTTTGCGATCTAGAGTATTTTGTATATAAGCTTTGGGAAACAATTTACTCTTTCTAAAATTACAACATTTTTTTTTGTTTTCTTTTTTTGAGATTCACGAAAACAAAAATTAAAAGCTACGCAACGACAAGGAACAAGGAAAAAAAATGTGAAAAAAACATGGACATGAAAAATTGTCGTGATGACGGGTTGACAATTAAAATATAACATCTTTCAGTCCCCTTTTTTAACATTTAGACATATTGCGAGAAAGTATGATTCTTTTTTCTCACGATTCTTTCATCCACTTGAACATGATTGACAAAAAAAATGCACATTACACGAAGAATGTATTTGAAGATAGATGAAAGTGTCTACTTTATTTTATATTTTTTTTTCATTCAAAACTTCTTTTTTTCTTTTTAATTAAATTTTTTCCCCATTTCTTTCTAATTGAAACTGTTCAAAGTTTCCCTTCATAACAATTTTTCATTTATTTCTAAAAAATAGTTATTTCAACTAACAATATGCTGCTTTGTAAAAAATATTCTCTTATGCTGAAAAATTTATGCTCATTTTACTTTCACACACTCACACATTCTATTTCTAATAACTAATTTGAGAAATTAAAAAAATTATTAAACTTTCTTCTTTTTTTTGGAAAAAAAAGAAAATTTACCAGAGGAAATTATAATCTTTTCTTTCTTTCTTTGTATAAATGAGACATCAATGAAAGTTTGAAGGGAAACTTTAAAATAGTTTCAATTTTTGAATTTGTGAAGTTGATGCATCTCATTGGTTTCTAGTTGCAGTGACTTGTAAAAAAGTCGAGTCATCCAGGATTCTTGACGAGTTTTTTGCCCCTGTAGTCGTAGACGCGTCTGCAAAAAAGAACCATATCGGATGACGCCAGTAATGGTGGTTGTCGATTTTTTCTTGGATAAACTTGATCTCCTGGAGGAACTATCAGACACGGAGTTTCCAATCCCTCGTCCATTCGCCTTATATTTTTTCGATATCTGCAAATATCAATGACAAGTTGACAAAATAATTTTTTTTTTCGTTGAAAATATTCATTTCTCTGCTCTCTTTTTTTGATTTATTTAATTTTTCAAATTTGTTTTTTCACAAATTGAAAATAGAAAATGATTTTTAATTAATTTAATATATTCATTCACTGATTTACTTATAATTAAAAGAAATAAGTTTATTTTCATAAATAATTTTATTCAGATTAAAATAAGTGAATGAATTTTTAATTTCTGAGCTTTTTCTCAAAGAAAAAAAATACTGGTATGTAATTTTAAGGTAGAAAAAAATTTATTATCAATTAAAAAAAAAATATAATTAACGATAAAATTGTTAAGTAATTGCTACTTACCGACAATATTCATTAAATGTTAGAATGTAACATTTATCTTCTATGCATGCAACACTGTTTGCGTCTCGATGACGAGATGCAAAAACTTCATCTTCGGTATCATATTCTGTGCGCCCTTGTTCAGTGTGTTCAGGTCTATAGTACCACAATAGGGAGAACATCATTTCACCTAAAAAAATAATAATTTTTTTTTTTTAATTAATGATAATCAATTTTAAAAATTGAAAACAATTTGTTTTTAATGCAGGGAGAAAAATATTTGGTTTTGAAAAGAAAAAAATATAATTGATATTTTTTCTTTTGTTGAAAATAAACAATTTTCAGAAGATTAAAAATTTTTATGAAAAAAACTTTTTAAATTATTTTTTAATTACTGTTTTTTTTCTTTTCGTTTTGATAGAGAAAAATTTTAGTACCGTCATCTGGATTTTCCCAAAGTGCTGCAATTTTTGCAACGAAAGGCAGATCAGCTTTGCGTGGTCCAGATCTAAGTAGAACACAATCTCTGGGACGCAAAATGTCTCCGCTAGTATGTTTCATACTCGCATAACATCTTCTTATAGCTGATTCTTCGTTCTGAAATGAAAATTTTATCTTTTAAAGGAAGGTTATTTTTTACTTTATTATTTTGTTTTATAAAATGTTGATTCTTATTTTTGTTATATCGAAACAATTGAATTTAAATATAAATAGTTTATATTTTTATAATTATTAAAAATAATAAAAATTTGAGTAAATTGAAAATGTATAATTACCGTGAGATAAACTTTGGCCTCATAAGCTTTGCCTTCCCAGCTCCATCCATTACTCCATTTGGGTTTGAAAAATGGTTTTCTAGCAATTGTTAAATGCTCATTAACGACAATATTTTCCTCTGACTTGCCACCAGTCTTTTTACCAGAAGTCTTCTTTGTACTTTTACGTTTTTTCTTAATTAAAAGTGATTTTTTCCCATCCTCAACAATTTCTCCTGATCTTAATTTTGGTAAATAATCATTTTTCTTCACTTGTTCACGATTTTTCATCTCTTGCGTTTTAATATTTGCTTTCAAATCCAAAATCTTTGTTTTCACATCCATTAATTTAGCCTTTACCTTATTTTTACATTTGGCATTTTCCTGTAATTTGGATTTGGATTTTGTTTCACTTTTACATTTCGATTGATTATTATTATTATTGTTGTTGTTATTATTATTTTTTGTCGTAATTGTCATTGTTGTAGTTGTTGTTGTCGTAGTTGTTGATGAAGATGTTGTTTCTACTTTTGGTGGTAAAATTTTGTCCATCACTGAATTTAATTCAAGTTTTCGTGTTACTTTCTTAATGGTTGACATTAAATTAGCATTCTTTCGATTCCTCTCAGCGACAATATTTTTGTTATTTAATTTCTTGTCCTTTTTCTCTGTCATTTGAACACTTTGTTGAATGACATTATTAATTGTTTCCATAATTGATGTGTGAGTTGCTAAAGTTTTTATTGAATCATCATTTGTTGATTTGGATGTTTTTATTTTTTTCACTGATGTCTCGGAGGTAGAGGAATTTTCGGCTTTACGTTTTGAACATTGGGGTTCTTTTTTTGTTGTTTGCTTTCGTTTAATTGAACAGGAATCTGATGTATCTGTGCCATTATTCACATTTAATTGTGATGTGGTTGAATTTTCATTAATAATTGTTGAATCGCGTGTTGAACCAACTGATAATGTTCGTTTATTGACTTTTCTTTTTTTACGCGAATCTGAAAGACTGTCGAGTGATAATTTTCTTTTTGTTAATTTTTGTGATTTTGGCTCTTCCTCGACGATCAACGTCTTTGTGGAAGGTTCTTCATCATCTTTATCATTGGCAACGGTTTCCGGCACCGTTGATTCATAATCGGGTTTTTTCCAATTTTCCGAATTATCAAGAACAACAACGTCATTTAATTCCTCTTTAACTTCAGTATCTGTCTCGAGTTTGTCGTCAATAAGAAGAATTCCTAAATCTTTATCAATATCGAGCATTGTTATTTGTCCATTTTTGTCGCAATGTTCGCATTTTAGTAATTCACAATTGTAACCAGATTCACATTTAACATTACAATTTGCTGCGCAACTTAAATTATTTTCACCAATTTCAACGCTACATGATTCACATTTGACATTATTATTTTCGAGTTTGAAATTATGAATTTTCGTGCTTGGACAACTTGTTGGTGTTGATAATTTTTCCGATGGTGATATACTTTCCATTTTTACTTCGCATGTTGATGTGCACGCGTGTTTTTGACAGGTGCATTTTCGAATTTTACTCTCCACACATTTCTTGTCATCCTGCAAAAAAAGTATTTTTTAATTAATTATTAATTAATAACTTTATTGTCAATTAATTTCTTCATTTGGCATCCAAAACATCCTTTGTTTTGGATTTCATTTCGCCTTTACATTAACTGTAATTTTCGTTGTTTTTTTTAACAAAATTATTTATATTTTAGAAAAATAATTATTTACAATATAATTTTTTTAAATTTTTATAAATTCATTAAAAACAATGAAACGAATGTTTTGTAATTTTTTTTTGTATTTAAATATAATATTATAAAACGAAAAAATCGAATTTCTTTTTTTTTGTAGAATGTACAATATTTAAGTAGTTAGGATCAGTTTTAATCAGACAAACGATAAAAACGAAGTGCAGTTTATAACAAAAACGGTCGTTTTAGAATTTTATTTAACTTTCCACTAAAAGCTGTAAATTTTGCACAAAAATAATAATGAATCATGTAAGGTACTTTTAAAGGTTCCAATTTTCTTTTAAGTAGTTACGGACAGTTATAGTCAGACATAAAAAAGTTGATACGACATAGATATATATATTTTACTCTTGTTAAATGTATATAATAAATTACTCGAAAGTAAATTAAAAATTTCTTGAAAATTTATATAAATAAATAAGGAATAATAAAATACAATGAAAATAAACAATAAAATAAAAACAATGTTATTAACAAAAGATAACGTTTTAATTTTTTTACTTATTATTATTTATTTGAAAATTCAAGTAAATTAACAACGCAATAAACTTTTTACGCGCGCTAATTTTACTAGATAATAAATAATTATATAAATAGAATAAAAAAGAAAATTATTAATAAAAAATAGTAATGGTATTAATAATAATTAGTTAAGAAAAGTTTACCTTAGTTCTGCATTCCGAGGTTTGGGTATGATTATGATTTCCGACATGATTATGGGAGGTCGATAAAGAGGGTTGGTTCTGATTGAGGTTGCGAAGAGGGTTGAGTTGGACGCGATCCGTATCCCAGGCATTGGCACCATGAGGAGGCGCGAGCCCGGCTAGCCCCCTCGCAGGTGAGGGTGGCCCTACCAAAGCACTGGGTGGCAATGACAGACCGGGCCCCGATGCCACTGGCGCTCCCTTACCATTACCAATAAGGGGCCCAGTATCCACGTTTTTTGGACAGGATTGCATCGGGCATGGACAGCTCTGGAATGCTGCATCTGCAAAACATATTTATTCGATATTAGAAATCTTCATGATTTTTTTTTCTATTTTTTCCAAAACGTAAATTTATTTCGCAATTTTTTTTTCTATATCGAATAATAATTGAAAAATTTTCTAATACAAGACAATTATGCTAAATTAAAATTCAATTTAATAACATTAATTTGATACATATTAATATAATAATTAAATATTAAATCTCTAATAATTTAGTGTATTTTTTTCAAATCTGAGAGTTACTATTCTGTTTACGGAGAATTCAAAACAAAAACAGAAATCTATACAAAATAAATAACCACCTGCTGTTCTGTATATTCTCGTTCGTAATACACAAAAGAAAATACAATAGAAATATATTTATGAAATTAATCATTATTTTTTTTAATAATCAAAATAAATTCTCTTAATATTTCTCCAATTCTTGTTCTTCTTATTATATTTAAAAGATGTTAACATTTTTATTTTCTTACTTAAGATTCTAAATTCTATTACTTATTTAAAATAACTTACGGTCTACGAATGGTCGTCCCTGCACGTGTAAATAAGCTGGATTTGGCGGAGGTGGAGGTGGATAACCTGCGTAATAAGGAGGTAGAGGATATTCGCCTGGCGGCGGAGGCGGTTGATATTCCACAATACCTGGACCAGGTCCGGTACCATTTCCGGCTCCTCCGGGTCCACCACCTGCACCACTTTCTTGGAAACCATAATATTGTCTGAAAAAAAATTAAACGATTATTATGGTTCATTTTATTCTAAATAATTAATTTAATTTTTTAAAAAATTAAATTTTACAGCAAAGAAATTAATTAAATAATTAAATTCGGAGATATTGAGAATTAAAAATTTGTAACGTAATTTGAGAATGTTTGCTGTTTCTTACCTTCTATACGTTGGCGGTGGATATTTATAGTAAGGCGGAGGATGTGGATGTGGATGCGAGTACGAAGGTGGATAACAAAGATATTGATCCTGTGGAGGGGTTCCGTAATATTGTGGACAATACGCCCTGTAAAAGCCTGCACCTGTAAGAAAAAAAAAATTTTATCGAAATTCGTCAAACAATTCCATTATATAAAAAAATAAACATTTTTTCCTCGTTTCTGATAATGAAAAAAATGCTTTTATCTTTTTTTATTCAGCAATTTATATTATATTTGTTAAAAGGAATTTTTTTAGTTACATTTTTCAAATAATTAATTAATTTTATTTATTTTTCTCTTTTTTCTCTCTGTGTGTAATATGTTATTAATATATAATTAACTGAAAATAGAATTTTCGAAAGTATATATATAGATATGTAGGAGAACAATGAATCCCGATGGGTACATTTAGATATTAACTTCCTACCTCAGACATAAGAGAATTCTCTTGCAATGCCCGAAAGGCAATTTCAAAACCACGAAGCTAAAACTACTATTGATAAGCTGCTTTGAAAAGCTTGTTTCAGAACTCCATCTCATTTGAAATTTCACACGAGTCAACCATAAACACTCATGAAAAGTCCTATCGGAATTCATATATAGTACCTATAGAACTTTCTCTCTCTTTTTCTCTTCCCCTAAGGAAGAAAAAAAAGCAAACAAAAAAAGGCAAATAATTTTTTTTATTATAATAAATAATAATTGTTTATAATAATAAAAATTAATTTTTTTAAATAATAAAAACAGAGAAATCAATTAAAAAGAAAAAAAAATGAAAGAAAAGAAAACATCAGGAAAAATAAAGTGAACAAAATTCCATCCGATAATGCTGCTGAGAAGCTTTAACCAACCATTTAGGAATAGTATATTCTATCTTAACAAGTTTTCAGACACAAAGAAAAAAAAGAGACAAGTCTCAAATGGAGTGAGTGGAAATGAAGTTAAAACCAGAGAAAGAAAGAGAGAGAGAGAGACAGAAAAACGCCAGTGAATTATTCTTACCGCTGGTCCCACTTGAAGCGGAAGTCACGACGAGGTCGTCGGAACTTTCCGAGTTTTGCGGAGGCGTTGGCGTTGGTTCCGGTGGTGGTCCTTTTACCGGAGGTAACGTCGGGGGATGCTGTATCAGTGGTCCAGCCGGCTGATAGTACCCTAAAATAAAACAAATTCAAAACATTTCATTTTAATTCTCGTTTTTTCATTCTCTCTTTGAGATAAATAAAAATTGCTTCTTATTTCTTTTCATTTTTATTTATTTATTCATAATTCATTTTATTTATTTATTTTAGTTTTACAATTTTCTTTCAATTCCAAGTTTTAATTACAAAAGTTTTTTTTTTAATATTTAAAAGTAATTCTTCTATGCAATCAAATTTTTATTTAATTGTTCCAAACAAAATTTTGTCACTGCAAGTAAAATTTATTTTCAAAAAATTTCAAACAGAATTTAAATTAAAAGTAAAGAAAAAAACGGAAATAAGAAAAGAATCTCAAATAAGAAATAAATACAAATGAAAACCGTTTTAAGTCGACAATTTCGAGGCAATTGTAAAAATGATAAAATCATCAAATAGATGGAAAATTATGCTATAAACCCCAAACTCGTTTTCAGCATAAACACTTAATGCTTCACTAGAGCTAAGTGAAAGAAAAATGCATATATACTAATTGCGCAAAAAAAAAAATCTCAAATGTCTTTATCCTCTCTCATAGTCTTAATATATGTGTAATATATTTTTTTTTTCTAAAAATTACATTTTATTTGTTTTTCAAAATGTTTTTATAAGACCCTATTAGAGAGAGAATCATTTCCGTTATATATAAATATAAACGCGATGCAAATTTTCTCATCTCATACAACCCTATATAACTATATATAAGATGATAATCATTTACAAGAGGATGGGTATAATTAATATTCAAAAGTGTCGCGGAAAAGTTTCCATTATATATACAAAAAGTGTAAAACGTCGCGACAAGGGAAAGCAACATTTGGCAAATTGGTTTACAAATGGGACATTTTCAGAATAAAAGGACCACTTGAAAAGCTCTATTTACGACAGTAGTTTTCCCACCACAAGTTGCTAAAGAGTCTTTTAAAGTAAAATCATGAAGAAAACGATCCACGAGATAACGTTATACACATTAGTTTTGCCTCTCCTTGTTTTTTTTCAATCAAACTTCAAAAGAAACTTGGATCACAGAAAAAGGAAAAAAATTAGTAGTAGTTTCAAAATAGTTTTAAAATAGTTTAAAGTATAGATTTAAAATAGTTTTGCAATAGTTTTAAAGTAGTTTCAAAGTAGTTTTAAAAAAGTTTCAAAATAGCTTTTAAAATAGTTTTCAAACAGTTCTCAAATAGTTTTAAAATAGTTTTAAAGTAGTTGAAAGTAGTTTGAATGAAGAAATTAATTTTCCACTGCCTATTGATCTCAAAATAGATAATTTTTATTTAAGCTGGTGACCAATGGCCGCAAGTGTACAAAATATTTGAAGGTTGTCAAATTAGGCCTAACCATACGCACAACTAGTACACGTGTATACACATCTGTTATACACACGACTATCACACACACATCATCGTAACTCTCTTGTTGTGCGAATCGAAAACAACGTTATTTCAAGCTACTCGTTCTGACGTGGTATGCCACGTGGAATGCGAGAAGGCCATAGATGAAAATTCAAACAAAAGGTAATCGAATCAATCGATGACTACTAAGTGGAAGTAATAGCGTTGTTCTCTTTCTCTCTATTATAAAACTACATATTATATAGGAACTTTATATTTTTAGTCTTTATTATTATACATTTTATATAACTTTCAACAACTTTATATGACTTTTATTATTCAGTCAATCGACAACAAGAAACAAAAACAAAAAAGAACCGAAAAGTTTCACGGTAATTAAGATTGCAATAAGGAAACTTTTATATACTTTTTATTAATGCTGAAAGATGTGTCTTTTTAAAGTTCATTATAAACTTGCAAGGATTTAAATTCAGCTACAAACATTCCGATAAAATGCGGTTTAATGATGCTTCAGTTGGAATTCCAAATAGCTGTATATAGAAATTTGTTGGGGACCTTTAATTTTTATATTATGACAATAAAATATGTCAATAAATTATGAGAGAAATGAAAAAGAAATACAGTTTAAAGACTGTAAATGATTTTAGAAAAAGACTTTTCCTCTCAAATGAAGAATATATTTTTTTTACCATAAAAAGTCTACTAATGAAAAAAAGGGATGAAATTCCTTGATCAGCATTTTGGCAAATATCTCTCTCTCTCAAAAAAAGAGAAGAATTCGAAAAGTGCCGATGGATGTGCCAAAAATATATATTCCTTCGATTTATAAGGGATACAAAGTAACCGTGTGTGAGTGTGTGGCAGCGGCAAGAGAAGGAGAAGTGAAAAAGGGAAGGAAAAGAGATTTACGATTTGGCGGAGAAGCGATATCAAGTGCAGAGTCGCGCTATATTGCCGATCCACGCGAAAACGGTGCGTTCACCTCGAGGTGAGTCCGATTCGCTGTGACGTGCGCCAACTGGCTGGGATAATACTCAGAAAAGAGAGGGGCCTGATCAGGTCACAGACCGAAAACGGGAACTAACCGATTGGCTGATTATGTATTCTCTTATACTTCCCTTCTTCGGATATATATATATCATTCATTTCATATATAATGGATTAATTAGCGAAATAATTAATCCGTATCTTGTATTATTTATTTTAAAAAAAATTATTTTTCTTTCCTATGTACTAGAAGAAAATAAACAAAAGAAAAGTTAAATTCAAACAAACTGAACTTTATTTGAAATCAAAATTTTAAAGCCAAATATTTAATTTTAAATTCTCTTTTTTTTATCATTTGAATATAATATCTGATGTACTGACAAGAATCGAGCTAAGGGAAAACTCCAAAGAAAAGATATCCAAAGAATTCCAAACCTCGGGGAATTTTCATGAAAGTTCTTCAGATTCCTATATATATATGTATATATATACTCCAGAATAAAGGGTGTACAAATGAAATTCTTTGGGAATTTTTCAAGTGTAATAAAAGTCTCTTGAATCTAAATGATAAAGTTATTTGCTTTCCAATAATATTACAAGAGCATATTCCTTTAATACACAATCAATTCTTCGACAAAAGCTTTATACATAATACTTTATGTAAAGCAAAAATATTTTTAGCTCCATTGAAAAAAAATACAAACAAAAAAGTATATCGCTGTCAATAATGTTCCTGCGTTATTGTTGAAATGTCGTTTTTTTATTAGCTCTATAACCTGACATTTATTATATAATCAACAATTTTAATTAACTATAACAATTTATTGCAGCAATTGTTTTTTTTTGTTTTTGAAAAATTAGTTTTATTTAACATACGATAGTCAATTAGTTCTTGAAATCCTAATCGAAATTGATTTTTAAACTACACTGAAAAAAATAGTATTGAATCAAGAAAACCTATGTACTTGACCGTATTTTATACCAATATTTTCTTGATCCAAGAAATTTTGATTAGTTTGAAGTAAATTTTCTTGGATCAAGAAAATATTGATATAAAATACGGTCAAGTACTTATAGGTTTTCTTGATTCAATACTTTTTTTTCAGTGTACTTTATATATTCTTATCTTTTTTATTTTTTAAAGTAATTACATAATTGCTAATTAATTACTTCCACACCATGTTAAAGTACGAAACAGAATCAAAAGCAAAATTTTAGCATGTAAATGTAAATCTATAATCACAGTTTGTAACAGGGTGTTATTTATTAAAATTTATAGTTGTTTTTATCAATTATATGAACAATTATTGTTTAGTTACAATCCTAATGATAGTTACAGCACTTCTTATCTGAAACTATCATCTTAGTTCGTCACGACCAGTGAGCAACTCGTTCATATACAAAAATTTTCTACTTCCTTATCGTTTAAAGTCTCTTTCTCCCTATTTCTTCTTTTTCACTGGACATTTACGGTTCCGTCCAATTCCAAGTTACGATGATAATTACTAGTCCTGTAGACTCGTAACTTATGAAACGCTGACATAGGATTGTTAAGGAGAAAGTCTTATTATTATAGCTGCCAATGTTGAGGGGAAAAAAGGAGGCAATATTGGAACCCTTATATGGGGCATTCCACGTGAGATTTTTATTCAAAATTTATTTTTTTTGTCTGAAACATTTTTTTCGAAATCTTTATTAAAAATCTAGAAAATTCGAATTTTTTGATAGGGTAAATGCACCAGTGGTGGATCAGGCACCAATGGTGGATCAACAGCGTTAAAAAGGTTAAAATAAGCTATTTCTAATTGAACTAAATGTTTCAATCGTTTAGGGGAGGTGTATAGATAAGTTTTATGAAATAAAATCATTTGAAAATATTTAGGAAAACAAAGCAATACAACAATTGTTGATTTTATGCTTTTTTACATGAAATCTTAAAAAATAATTGTTTAGTCTAAATTTTTTTAATTTTTAGAGTAGAAAGTAATCAATTCTTTCCATATAGAATACACGGAGAAAAATGAAAATTGAGATATCGGACTGAGTATAAAACAATTGGAATAATTTCTATTACCGTAGGAATGAGTTGAAAAGTTTAGGTTTCTATCCCAAAAAGTTTTATAATGATTATCAATTAAAATGAATTCTAAACATCTTAGTAAACGCTAATATTTTCCTTTAAGCGAGTGCTATTCAGTTTCCGTGATTTGTTTTAACTCGTGAAGGAATAACTTTGAAATAGATTTTATGATCGTGTTGTAGAGAGAAATGTAATCTTAATTGAAGTCTTTATTAGCGGTTGCATTAATTGTGTACATATTAGTATTTTTGAAAGCAATGTATTATAAGTCGCAAGGTATTGAGAACAATTATTATATTTACATTTATTTCAATTCAGTTTTTCAATTATTAGAAACTGTGTATCAGCGTTTACTTGAAGCGGATTGTTCGCTCCAAGTTTCATTGGATTCATTCCCAAACAATTTTAGTCAGCCATATACTCATATAAGCACACAGCCACACAGGTACAGCAGAGATAGACGCGCCTGCGCTGTGCGCTCGTGTCAGTGTGTTGCTCACCATTGCATTACGTCCGGAACGGGCATTATAAACGTAATACATCCGCGTGTATATA